ATCTATCTATCTATCTATCTATCTATCTATCTATCTATCTATCTATCATCTATCTATCGTCATCATCATCATCTACCTATCGTTAATAACCTTCCAATTTGATCTAGTAACATTGCTCTCATCACACCCTCATCTCATTCGTGAAATGGTCTTGTCATTCATTATCTGTCCTGAAATAAAATTTAAAAAATCTGCCTTAAATTGACACCGTCCAACCATAATGTCAAGGTGTGGAACATCTAGAGCTTTTTGTCAGCCATACAATGGTCAGCTGACCTGTTATGGGTATCAGTAGAGGTTCATTTGGGAAGTGTTGGATCAGCAGGGTGATACAGAAAATTCTAACTCTTTGCTACATTCTAAGTTGCCCAGAATTTTACAACTCAAACTGGATAGTTTTTAAATCTGTCCATAAAAGCTTACATTATTTCCTCTGCTAGCTTAGTAGAATGTTCACTGTCTTTATTTAAGGTGTCTGAAAGATGATCATTTACCTTAAAGAAATGCTCCTATACCATCAATGATCTCATACTTATTATATATGTATGTATATATTTATTCAGTATATTTCAGAAGTGTCATCACCTTGTTGACGTTAAAAGCTACTATGATGCCTGCGTGTTTGATAGCTGCAGAATGCCCAACCAATTCATGGAATGTGCAAGTCTTCAAATCTATGCAGCAACCTGTGCAGATCAGGGGGTTTGCATAGACTGGAGAGGACATACCAAGAAAGCATGTCGTAAGTCTCCATTTCTAAAATTTGTCTGGAACTGAACAAAGAACTACAGGACATACCTTTCCAAACAACCTCTCTCCCACTTTAGTGGGAGAACATCAGTGAAATTGTGTACAGTAATTTGAAACATCTTACTTTATTTAGGTGATTGTGTTTTCTATTCTTGGAATCTATTCTTTTTTTTCCTTGAAATGTGGTCAATCTGTTGATGAAAATGCTCTGGGGATAAGAAAGTTGTAGAAGGTGTATCAACATTTGGAATGTACATGTTAAAACAGCAAAGAAATAGCAGATGAATGAAAAAGTGGCATGTGGAGAATGGGGACAGGTCACCCTCCATTTCTCTTTTCTTCTGCTAGCATCTCCTGGGTTCTTCCCAATATACTCAGTTATTCATTCTCCTAATGTGGGTAGCTTATGCAGCAGAAATTAGATTACTGTAAACTCATAAAATATTTCTATGGTCTTTTTAGAGTTACCAACAGAAAGGGAGGAGGAAAGGGGTTTGAAAGAGCAGTGTGGCAGCTTGGAAATTGAAAGTGGATTCCATAAATACTTTTCAAATATGGTAATTAGGTGACTGAAGTTTCTGGCGTGCACAATTCTAACTGGAGAACATGATTGATGACTCTTGGCTATGGATGTGTCTCATTGGAGAATATGACTTATGATACATCCAGGGGGTGGGGGAAAACCAGGGTCAAGGGTGACAATGAATGATATGTCTCAGAGTAGGCTACACCCAGGCAGTGCCTGGGACATGTGAACTTCCAATAAATCCTTTTGAAGTTTTGGAAGTTTGGCTCAAGACTCATGATTTAATTGGGGTAACTGCCGGAATCCTGACAATCACTTCATACACCAGAGGTGAAATGTTCATCCCATCAAGAGAAGTCGAGGTGCAAAATAATTGGATAATAGAAAAAAGTCAGCTTTTTCTGTAATTATAGAGCAGAAGATAACTTTGTAATCATGCTTGCAAAGGAAATCAGAAGCTTCTTTCTATTTCTTTGTATTCTTTCTCTTCATTTTCTTTTTTCTTTCTCCCTTTCTTTGTTCTCTTTATTCTGTCTCAGTTTATGTTAGTTTTAAACATTACAACATTTAATTAAAACATCTAATTAAAAATGTTTCTAAAAAAGAGAGAGGTATTGGAAGAGGTCCAGGAAGGAAGAAGTATAGGCCAATTAATCTCTTTCTACCACCTTCTCCCTTTTCCTGCTTCTAAGGGCTAACAAAGTGTACCTTCCTCTTAGCTTAATCTTATCTCCTAGCTCATGATTGAAACTTGGGTTGTTATTCGTAGCATGAGCATAAAAGTTATATTATTCCCCAAATATGATATCCAAAGGCAGTCCCCAAGAATGGAAAAAAATCTGCTAAGCTTTGCCAAACTTTATTTTGGAACGTGTTATCATTCATCCATTGTATCATCTTCATCTGTATTCTCCTTTCTTTTTTTTCTAGTTAATATCTGCCCGCCCAATAAAGTGTACAAAGCATGCGGTCCTGCTATACAAGAAACGTGCAAATCAGGGTAATTGATGTTGAAAATAATATCCCTGTGTCTGTCATCTTAGATAGCAGGGTTCCTATCCTGTTAGAAGAAATCCAGATCTCAGTTTTTGAGTGAGATGAGCAGCCATATAAATGTGATAAATAGCTAAATGTAAACTCTTAAAATGCTGGATCTGGCTTAGAAAATATATAACCTATGAATGCATACCTTGCAATTTACATGTTTATTGGGTCAGTCATTTAGTACAAGAACCACATCCCTTCCTCCCCTCTGAATTGTCATATGATTCTGGGAAGCAAGGCAACTGCTTGAGAGATATTACACTTGTCCTTCTGTATGTCCCAAAACACCTTTAATTAAAGCTGCAAGTTTTTGTTAGGTATGTGAATAATTGTTGATTCTTTTACCTTTTTCTGTTGTAGCTTAACAGAGCAGAACCAGACCCAACAAATAGAAGGGTGCTTCTGTCCTGAGGGGACAAAACTTTATGACACTGCTATAGATGTATGTGTGGAAACTTGTGGTAAGTGACTCTTCTTTTTCTCAAACATCCTTAGAATGTAGTCTGATATCTGCTTGCATCCGGGAGTAAATCTCATTGAGCTCAATGGAGTTTACTTCTCAGTTGGCATGCATAAAATTACATTTCTATTGTTCTCATTAATACAATTTAAATAATAGAAATTATCTTAACATTAACGGCGATACCTTTGTTTTTAGGATGTGTTGGACCGGACAATATTCCCAGAAAGGTAAGCAACATGTCTGTTTCTTATGCATGAGTTTGACAATGAACTCTATATTTTCTAGAATAGGTTTGTTTTATGATAGAATTCTGACCTCCCCACCCCTTTCAGCTTTATTTTACACTTTCATCTACTTGCAGAGCTTATCCATGCTAATAAAGCTACGTGATAAAGAATTTGAGGAGGGTAGCTTGATCAGGGGTGCACAGAGCTTTGTTTAGCAGAAAGTCACTGTCTTATATGAAAGTCTCCAGCATTATATGAGTGGCAAGAAACAAAAAAGAATCTATTGATGATGACAGCTATGATAATAATCTATTAAGGTTTATCATAAATCTTACAGGAATTTCAATGATGGGATTGTTAGATTACTAAACTCAAGATGGTGGTGGCATTTGTATGCAATTTATACATTGCCCAAAGTCACCGTGGGTAGTAAGATGGGTGTCATATAAATTTAGTAATAATAATATCAAAGCTCCAGCCCTTTATATGTGCATCATCTATAAAAAAGTTCTGAGCTTCAATCATGTGAATGGAGCTTCACTTTTTAGTTTTTTTTACTTGCCGATCTGCTACCCAATGAGTTATTAACTCCTAGAAATTCCTATAACATTTATCATAGTCCTTCAATGGTGCATGTAGGTGGGATCAGATTCGTTCTGCTTAATATTCTATAGGTTCTTACACTATTAATCAGTTACTTTTTCTCATTGATAGTTTGGGGAGACCTTTCAGTTTGACTGCAAAGATTGTATTTGCCTGGAAGGTGGAAGTGGCATTATCTGTGAAGCCCACAAGTGTCCAGTACCAGTTCATGAAGTACAGTGTGAAGGAGAAGGATATCAGAAGATCACCAAAATTAATCCTGACGACAAATGTTGTTCAGACACCGTGTGTGGTGAGTATGTCCATGTAGGCACATGGTCAATGATAGTGATACTGTGTGACCTATAATCTGGACATTTAGCAATTGCAATATCACTTAGACTTACATACCGCTTCCCAGTGCTTTTACAGCCCTCTCTAAGAGGTTTATAGAGTCAGCATATTGCCCCCAGCAATCTGGGTCCTCATTTCACTGACCTCAGAAGGATGGAAGGCTGAGTCAGCCCTACCTGAGCCACTTAGATTCAAACTCCTGGAGTGAGCAATAAATTAGCCTGCAGTACTGCATTGTAACCACTGTGCCACCCAGTGGTGGGATTCAAATTTTTTTATACTGGTTCTGTGTGTGTGGCTTAGTGGCAGGAAAAGGATACTTGTAAAATCTCCAGTCAGAGGTGGTATTTTTTGGTTCTCCGAACTACTCAAAATTTCTGCTACCGGTTCTCCAGAACTAGTCAGAACCTCTGGCGCCACCATGGCCCCCATTTATTTCTTAATGTCATCTCTCTCAGACAACCAGGCTAGAATCTCTCAGTATAGAAAATATATATTTCAAGTGATGTGCATTCATGGTCCAACTCATTTATAAAGCATGATTACAAAGCAAGCTAACTTAATAAGATTTTCTTATTACAGTTTTTTCAATCTATAGGAAAGTCTCTAAGTTTAAAGAATTTCCAAGAATACAGTTGCTTTGTTTTGCAATAGATTGTGCTTAGAAGAAAAGGGATAATTTGCCAATGTGGAAATTGAATTTTTCCTTTCTCCATCGTAGTGTGCAACACCACTCTATGTACAACCAAGCCTCCTCAGTGTGAAGCAGGATTCTCGGCTGTTGCTAATACCACTGAAGAACACTGTTGTCCTTCTTATGATTGCAGTAAGTCTCTCTTAACTAACTTTGGAAGGATGAATATATGGCTTTGGAAAATTCAGCTTAACACTTGGATCCTAAATGTGTTACATTACAATTATGTCCAGTTATTATCAATGGAAATTGTTTCCACCAAATATTTATGTTATCACCTAGCACTTATCAGCTTAAAGCAAATCAATTTTAGAATACAGGTACTTTGAAATGAACTGCATAATATCCTGCTCACAGGTTTTTAAAAATTCCTTCCATATATATAAATTTGTCTTTTTTCTTGTCCATCTATAATATATCTGATTTATACATCCTTGTTTTTATGCATTAATTTGAACAATACATAATAGAAATCTATAATTCCTTGAGTTCATGTGAACTTCAGTAGAACAGTCTATGGTGGTGACTGATAATTAGGAATGAAGACCTTGGTTCACTTACATCTCCCCAAATCTCCTACCACTGGTCATACTGGGATCACTGGTGGTTTTAAAACAAACTATTTGGGACATCTATCCATAAGGTACTACACAGTTCAGAGTTATGTAAATAAATAAAATAAAATAAAAAGCAATATATTCAGCACGCATTAATAAATGCCATAATTGGGGAGAAAATATGAGAAAATGTCTTGTTACTTTACTTAATGTTACATACTAGAGAAAGTATATCAACAACAAAATACAGTTACTTTTAAGCAAAGAGCATAAAGTACTGACAAAGATTTTTAAACGATTATTTTCTCTAGATCCTAAAAAAGTGTGCGTGAAGGATGGTAATGAATATAAGGTAAACTTTTCCTTTCTTCTTAAGAGGGATTTTTCTTTTAAAAAATAATGAAACTCATAGCCTACCTTTTACCAGAGTTGCAACTGAAGAAGGCTTATTTAAAAAGGGAAATAAAAGAATGAGTTATAACTGAAAGTTAGTGAGCATCATGTCAGGGAAAATAGCAAAACCCAGGAAAGAGTTGTAGAAGACAAACCTTAGGGAAGATGCCTACTGTATACAACCTGGCCCAAGGCATTCTGGGATAACCAGGATTCCATCACTTGGTCATTTAACCTGCTTTTAGAACCAACCAACTTTTTCAGTTTTGTTACCATGCTTAGGTCTTTCAGGATACCTCAGTAATACCCAAAGTACATATCTACTTCGAAATAAGTTCTATTGAAATTGATACTATAGAAAACCTTATGTTTATAAGCGGTCAGGCACCATTGAGCACAGCAGGATTTGTTTCTGTCTAGACCAAGAGGTCTGGGTCTGTGGCCCATAGATTGGTAAAGTCTCCTCAACAGATCATGCTGGAACTATTGTGCTGGCCAGTTGGGAGAAGTTGCAGTTGTGCAGTGTTGTTTTCAAGTATATACTATCTGCTAGTTTAGAAGTAAGCTGAACCGAACCCTCTCTGGCTTTGGGTTGGAGGGTGGAGAAGCAGTGAGAAACTTTTGTCTCCAAAGCAGAAATTGATTGACAAAGCTCTCCGTGGCTAGGAAGCACAGTATGCTTTAAAAGTGAGACATATGCTCCTGCAGACTCAAATGGCTGATCAGAACAATGTTTTCAACCATGGTTTTCAACCACTTATGCAAGTGACAAAAAAGAGGAAAAGTAGTGAAGAGCTGGGTTAGCAAAGGGACATTAAGAAGTTGTAGAAATGAAGCAGAGAATATGGCTATAGTGCTGCCATGACGGATTTGTGATGGGAAGTGGGAGGATAGTCAGGGGAATGGGATTGAGAAGCCTTCAAAGAAGTTGTTCAGGAATCCTCAATTCTTGCCTAAACATGCATTATGAAAAAAATAAAAAGAGGCAAAAACATAAATGGATTAATAGCAAGGTGATATCAGCCTTCTGAGTAAACTAGATGGGAAACATGATTAGATGAGCTAATTCTACTTTCTTGTAAGGCTACATTAACAGAATTGGGATGCGGTGGCTCAGTGGCTAAGCCGCTGAGCTTGTCGATCAGAAAAGTCAGTAGTTCAGTGGTTCGACTCCCTAGCACCACATAATGGAGTGAGCTCTTGTTACTTGTCTCAGCTTCTGCCAACCTAGCAGTTTGAAAGCATGTAAAATGCAAGTAGAAAAATAGAGACCACCTTGGTGGGAAGGTAACAGCATTCCATTCGCCCTTGGCATTTAGTCATGCCAGCCACATGACCGAAATGATTAGCAGAAACGACTAGCACGTATAAAGAGGAACCTTTACCTTTACATTAATAGACTCATGCAAATCTGAAGTACAAACTACTAGCTGAATTTTTGACCATACAATTAATTAAGTTTCTTTATCTGAGTCTTAAACCACTGGAGGCTCTTGTCTGATCATTTCCTAGGCAATATCTTTTTCCCCATCCTGAAGGTCATTCTCAAATAGCACTACAAGGGAATAGTAAAGTAGACAAATAGCAAGAATAGAATTAAACAGTTAGAGGCTGAAGGATCCCTCTAATAAATTCCGAAACTGCAGCAAATTCTCTAATCCCTAGTGGCCTGTCTCATATCAGAGTTTCAATAATTTTGTAACAAAGATATTGCATCAGATCTGCTTTATCTTATTCTTTGCTAATGAATGAATCGCCCTGCTTTGTTCCAGCCCGGTTCAGAAGTCTTAGGAAGCAAGTGCCAGAAGTGTATATGCACAAATAAACAAAACAGCACCACTCTTCTGAATATCATAGAGTGTAAGAATATCCCATGTAACGTGAAGTGCCAGGCGGTAAGTAGTTCCACTTATGTAAGCAGACAACGCACTATGTGGGAAAACAAGAGGACAAGCACAGTGGTGGGGTTCAATTTTTTTTACTACCGGTTCTGTGGGTGTGGCTTGGTGGGTGTGGCAGGGGAAGGATACTGTAAAATCTTCTGTCAGAGGTGGGTTCTCCGAACTACTCAAAATTACTGCTACCGGTTGTCCACAACTGGTCAGAACCTGCTGAATACCACCTCTGGACAAGGAGGACTATGAAAGAACTGTTCCCTGTAACCTAATTATTGACATCTCCAAGCTTGAGGGCAAGCTTCGCTGTTGAGTGAAGTAGCCATTTCTGACAGTAGAAGTGCTCAGCTGAGAACAGCACTGAAGATGTAGCAGAATAGATGGCTTCCCATCGAAGCTAGCATATTATCCCCAGGTGGACTGAATTCTATCATTCTGCAGCCAAAATTGAAGCAAGACTTTTTTTCCCCCTCAAAACAATCAGCTTATGTATAGGACTGGGATGGAGAGATTTTCATCCTTTGCCTCTAGCAGGAAAAGTATCTTGGGTCAACCATACAGAACAAAATATCATTAAGGAAGAGGGAAAAAAAGCCAAAACAGTTTAAAAGAGAGAGAGAATTGACCATTGTTGATAGGTCCCAAATGCTGAGAAGGAGGAAGTAGAAATCTTGAGAATAAAGTGGTTGAATAGAGGAGGGAAGGCAAGTAAAAGTTGTATGCAACCTCATCAATCATATTATTGTGATCACCTGGAATTACAGGAATTGCAGCCCCAAATATTTAGAATTAGGATTTCAAATTAGACAATAGCTGGTTCTAATAATAATAATAATGCGTGCATTTGGAGACAGACTGGCTCAGGGACACTGTGCCTTCTTTATGATTTCTTTCACCCTAGAATTGAACTAGAGCTTGTCCTAGCAGAAGCTCCCTGCCATACCCAGCAGTGCCAAGGACCTCAAATGGCCTTGCCAGGAACCTAACCCCTTTAGTCTCAATGGCCAGCCACATGTATAGAAATTTTGGGCAGAGCAGAAGCGTGTCTAGTAGGGGTTTGCCTATCACTGGCCTGGAACACAAATGTCATGTCATTCCATATCCATCTTGCTGACTGCTCTTTCACAGGCTGTCCTACCCAACCAAGATTATAGATCTTGTTGAAACCACCAGAGCTTCATATTAGCTTAATAACTTCAAGACTCTCTCCCAAAACTACAGCATCAAAGATAACCCCAGAATTTACCTGGGCCTCTTTGGCCCAGATGTAAAACCCCCACAACACCCTACAGAAAAGCACCAGGGAGGCTCCCTTGCTGGTAAGAATCGCATGTGGTGTGGTATCCATGGACAAGTTCACTGAAAATTCCACCCTTTGGGGGAAAAAAAAATCTACCCAGGTTATAGATGTCTTCTGATCTCAGAGGATCAGTTGATCCTCCTTGATTAGCCCTGTATTTCTGCCTTTTATGATATTCTTAGGCAAAGATATTGAGAAAATAAGTCACTATCTGCTTTCCAGGCTGGAGGTAGCTTGACCTGCTCCATTTTTGCCAGTTTTGAAGGCACAGCAGAGCAACTGAACAACCAGTTGGCATTAATGGATTAGTCTAGTTAGATAACAGCTCCATCTGGAAGGACCAGATTGCCTAGATCGGAACAGAGCACTGAAGAAAGGATGGCTGTATGAAATTTGAATAAGAATACTTGGTTTTATTATTATTTTTTTAAAGTCCTATTTGAACACCACAGTAGTATATCTCTTTCTCCGTAGGGCTATTCTCCTATTCTACACCCTGGTGACTGCTGTCCAATATGCGTGCAGACAAGTTGTGTTATAAGAACAATAGAAAATGACATTGTCACTTTAAGAGTAAGTTTATTTTTTCATAATTATCTTCAGGTAGTAATGCTTTTATTGGCATTCCTACTGGATAGAATGTGGAAAAATGTGGGGGGAAAAATGGAAATTTGTCACTGCAACAGCACCTCCTCATGATTTTTCCTTAATCCACTATCCTCACATTATCTAGGCGTCTGTGTGAAATTTCTCCAGAGGATATGCATTCAGATTAAACACAAATGGAAAAAAAACTAATGCATTTCCATTGTTTATAATTGTTATAATACAGAATGAATGCAAAAGTGATATAAGAAATGACTACGGTCACAACATATTCATATCTATTTTTTCCACTTATAAGAAATGGGTTTGGGTATATTCATATCTATTTTTTCCAATTTATTTTGTCTACTTCACTATTGTAGATTGAGAGGATGAGGTCCTGAGTGGGTTGTTTAATTGTGCCTACAAGCATCAACAGGGTTAGTCTTGATAGAAATTGCAAGAAAAATAATGGAGACTTGAGGCACACAAATCTCAATAAAATAAGGGTGAGGGAAATTGAGTAAAGGTTAGGATGGAAATAAGAAAACAAATGTGGCATAAATTAAAAGTTGAAAAACTTTATTCCTTTACATATTGTTTAACTTCTCTAATTTTCTCTGTATTCCATCCTTCTGCTGCTGACAAAGGAGCTTCCTTGCTTGGTCTCTTCTCTGCACACTTTCTAGAGTCTCAACATCTTTTCTATATCATAGAGATGCAATATTCCAAATGTGGCCTTACCAGGACATTATAAAATGGTATTAACACTTCATGTGATCTTGATTCTATCCCTCTGTTAATGCAGCCTAGGACTACACTGGATTTCTTGGCAGCTGCAGCCTACTACTGGCTCATATTTAAGTAATTGTCCTCTAGGATTCCAAGATCCTTCTCACAGTTACTACTATTGAACTAGTTACCACCTATTCTATACCCATGCATTTGGTTTTTCTTGCTTAAATTACTTTACTCACCACTGAATTTCATTTTACTAGATAGGCCCCAATGTTCAAGTCTCTCTAGATCCTTCTGTATTTTGAGTCTATCTTCCACATTGTTGACTATTCCTGTCAGCTTGGTATTGTCTGCAAATTTAATGAGTCCCTCCTCTACCTCTTCATCTTACAGCCCTATTGGTTTGGCCCTCCATGTCTGTCCCAGTTTTTCATGTGACCCTTGGGAAAATTAATTGCTTGCCCCTGTTCTATAGCCTCTAAGGGTCTCAAGTACGAGTGACACAATTGGTGGGGAAAGGATTTATCGTGTTAGTTAATTTTCATTAAGAGGATGCCTCCATTGAATGTCTACCATGCTCTTTTGGGGAGTGGGGGATTTTTAACAAACAGGAACCTATTTAGTTCTGAACTTATTTCCTTCTTCCAAACAGCCTGGTGAAAATCAGAATGATCCCAAAGACAACTGTACTATTTACAGCTGTACAAGGATTCATAGACAGCTGATTTCCTCTACCTCTGTGATTAAATGCCCAACGTTTGATGAGAATAGATGCCAACCTGTGAGTTAAAAGTTGAATCTACACATATGATGTTGTGAAAAAAAAATTTGTTTGATTCAGATTGAGTAGGATAGAAGCAAGAGCTGAATCAAGTAGATTTTATGTGGGTTGCTGGAACAATGTAATATTTAATACTGAAAAATAAGCAAACAAAGATGATTCAGACTGGAAAAATTTATCATTTAAATACAAAAATTAATTATTACACATGTTTTATTGCATCAAGTTATCACAGCACAACCAATAAGGTGAAAGGTCAGAGGTTTCAAGAATTCATTCCCAGAAGTCCTTTGAGTTTATACCTCCTGGCCTAACCTTTGGTAGGGCAGTGGTTTGAAGCTTCTCCTGTCACCTCCTGTCTTCCAGAGAGTCTCATCTGGTATGTTCAGCCCAGTGTGTAAGATAAGACACTCAGCACTTATAATTGACAGTGAAAGGAGAAAAATGTGAGCGAAAATGAAATAATTCTTCTAGAATTGCAGTATAAATGTACATTATGAAAGGTTTTAGGCTTTTCTTCCGCTTTGAGAAACAGATCCATCTCACAAGAGATAAACAACATTAGACTTTGTGGTAATTTTTTTAAAAGAAGGAAACTATAAATGTTCTTTTAAACTTTAAATAGATGCAATGGTATGTGGGAATAACCTTGGGAAATAGGAGAAACAACCACAGCCTAGGCAGAGGGTCTTCAAGGTCATTCCCACATATTACAACAATGCCCCAAACATTTAATGTGTTTCAGTACTGATGGTGTTGAAAGAAATAGATATAACTTGAAGAGAAAAATACTAACTATCTAATATTATACCAAAAGGATATTATTGTTGTTATTCTTATTCTTCTTGTTGTTGTTATTGTTATTGTTATTATTATTATTTAAAGAATGCTAAGACTTCTGGAACATTTCAGATAGATACCATCCACTTCTGCTGTTCAAAAATGGTTCATGACCTGTTCTGGTGACAAGGCAATTGAGCAATGTGGATATGTTCTTAGGCTGCAGGGTAATCCCAGTAGGATCAATACAGAATAGACAAATACAAACACATGTTTGTAGCTCCACTATGGAAGTAAGTGATTCTTCCTTCGTAGAACTAATGGAGTAAAGGAACCCACAGCATGCTCATGTTTGAGATTAGCATATTTTTCTCACTTGTTCTTCATCTAAGAAACAAGGTAGAGGGAAATATTGTTCTCCTCCCTATCTGTGCCATGCAATATCGTAAACTGCAAATCCCATAATTCCTAGAAAGCATGGTGGAACATTAGAGCAATTATTTCAGTATAATTTGCAGTTCTAGTAGGTGGTTATACATGTTATTGTTATTATTTTGTTTGCAGGGCACCATTATTTACTTGCCTAATGGCTGTTGTAAGACGTGTAAGTATTATAAAACTATATACACTTCCATTCTAAGGAATTAGTCTATATAATGAAGGAGGAGGGGCAATTTAATTATGTAAATAATATTTATTTGAGAGAGGTTCATCCACTTATACTCTAGCAAAGTATTGCTTTACTATTGAAGAAAAATAATAATTTGATAGAATACAAGTGATGCTCATTCTATTGATGCTCTGTTTATACATATTAGCTTGATGAATGAACCATGTTAAAAAAAACAGTTCACAAACATGAAAATATCCCTAGTAAAGAAGGTTGTATTTGTGTGATTAAAGAATGTTTGGCTCCAGATAATAAAGGTTTAGAGCTTTGTTCCTGGGAACATGGTCCTTTCAATGAAACTAAATTGAAAGGTATTTGCAAATGTTGCAGTATGGCGTTATTAAATGATAAGTTTATTAAGGATTTCCCTGAATATTCCTTGATGTTTTGGAAGAGATGAAAAACCTACTAAAAATGTTGAGAGAACAGAAAGTTTTCCTAGTTCCCAGTTCCTTTCAGGAACATGCCTCGAAGAAAGGAAGCTATTATCCACCTGCTGGATTATAGGACTGTACACCTGGCAGAGGAAATGGGATAGGTTCTTATTTTAACAGAGTCAAACTATTTTTTTCAGTGAGCTTAGTGATTGGATAGCAATGTATGGAGGCCTTAACTAATGGTGCTCACTAATATAATTTTTGGTTTAGTTATTTGTGCAGCTGTTTTAACTATTTTTAGTAGTGAGGTATTTTTGTTCAGAGAATGCACAGGAAAAATATCTCTTTATTTGTTTATATCTTTTTATATCTTCCCAACTTAAAACTAATGAAAGCATCCCTATTTGTACTCTGCTGAAAAATTCTATGCAAAAATTAACTTTCAAAAAAGACTCACTCATTTCATTGGAAAGGTTGATAATGGTTTGATTTTCCTATCTAAAATACCTGCATTTGAGAATTTCATGGGCATTCTTTCCCATTCAGATACCCAACCAAATTACATTTAAATAAAGGTATTCGACACAAATTTCGGGTAGAAAATTATTGACTATGCTCAGGGGTGGGATTCTACCAATTCGCACCTATTTGCTAGAACTGGTTGTTAACATTCTAAGCAGTTCGGAGAACCAGTTGTTAGAAGAAATACTGGCCTAATCCTGTAAGGAAGGCAGGAAGGAAACATTCTGGTGTTGCTTATAGAAACTGCCTCTCAGTTAACCCTTATTACATTCTGGGCAGGACTAGACTTCCTCTCTCAGGAAAATCTCTGGAGTTTCTTTCCCTTCCTTTGCTGGTACTTTGCTTGTATGGAGTGACCATTCAAAGTTACAATGGCACTGAAAAAAGTGACGTGACCATTTTTCACACAACTGTTGCAGCATCCCCACAGTCATGAGAGGCCAGGCGAGGAGATGTGTGCCTCGATGTGAGTGACATTGAGTTGGCCACGCCCAGCCAATAACATCACTGCCAAGCCATGTCCACCCAGTCACATGACCACCAAGCCACGCCCACCACCTAAGCCACGCCCACAGAACCAGTTGTTAAAATTTTTGTATCCCACCCCTGACTATGCTAAACTATCCAGGAGACCAAAAAAACTTGAAGTTTATGCTTGCATGTGAATGACGGTCTTTTTATTCCTCTTGTTTGATAGGTATATTAATGGAAGCTACCCCATCATGCTCTGCCAGTCAAACAATGGACTATATCAATTACAGTGGCTGCCGTTCAGAGGATCTTGTCCCTGTGACTCAGTGTGAAGGAAGATGTGGAACTTTTTCAATGTATGTAAAATGCTGAAATCCAATGATATGCTTGTGTGCAAGACAACTCAAGATTTCTATCTTTGTTCAAAGTTATATTATCTTTTTTCCCTTCCCAGCTGTGAAAGAACGTGCAATGATAGAGTTGGGAAACAGATGATTTTGAGAAATGAAATAGGATAATGAATGGTTTCCACTTGGAAGAACGATAGGCAGATAATAAGCAAATTCCTGATTTATAGATTATTATGTGCAATTGAAAACCTTGAAAGTATTAAAACTGAATTGTAGGAAATAAGCTTTAGGACTGCTGCCAAAGATGCAATTTGGTTTTCCTTGGAAAAAGAAAAAAAATCAGATATTAAAAAATGGATGACTTTGAGTGTGTTTGAACTAAGATCTTCCTCCTGAGAAACAATATTAAATATTAGTTGTCAAAGATATGACTATTATTGTTATATGAATTACATTAATTATTTAATAATATGGCCTATTTAAAGATTCTGTCCTCTCACTGGATCTTCCAAATTAAGAAAGATAAATTTTGGAAGATTTACTGGAGGAGAATTCACAAGACTTTGGGATGAAGATGTCTTCTTAGAGAAAATGCTTCTCCGAGAAGTTTCGCGCTGTCCCTTTCTCTTAATCTCAGTCTCTTGGTCCAGCCCACCTCTTCAGCAGAATCGCCTGTTATTTGGAGGAACATTTTTATAAAGTCTTATTGTCCTAGGGAAAAAGAAAAGATAAAGTAGTAATCTTCCATATATTCACTTCAACTGATTAATTTCTGGATCCAATCCTCTGTGGCCTTATTTATCTGAAGGGTTTTAAAAAATAGTGTTGCTAGTGGTAGGAATATAATAAGGTAATCTTGTGGAGTAGGCTAAATAGTGAATAGCATTGTAGATCCAGAAGGACACTGTGTAAACCATGTTTGTACCCTTGCGGAAATCCTATATTCAACTTATTTAGCATTTGAAAGTATCCACAAGAGGAGCAAAAATAGAATCAATACTAATTTGAAATTGCAATTCTTTTTTTTTTTACCCTTTTTTGCACAAAATTGATTTTCTTTGTTAAATCTCCAAGAAATAGAGGTTGGATTTTTTGTTGCCTATTTTGGGGAGATTTTATAGAAATCTGAGCATGAATGTCATGAGCATGGCAAAGTTCCCTGTGATGAGTTGTGAAAATGCCTGTTTCCAGATACTCTGAAGTAAAACCAAATGTATCTTAATAATCCTTTAAAATAATTTAATTTGACAATAGAAACCAAACAGGGCACAGTTGAGGAGAAATAAGAAGGATCCTAATAATAAGAATAGACCTTTTTAGAGTTCAAATATAGTATGGAACCAAACTAAATTAGACTGTGCAAGCTTTAAAGTTTCCTTCAGTTGAAGAGAGTTTACATCAATCTCTCTCACACTCATGAACAAGCATGATTATTTATATCATGCTTATAATCATTTTTATATTCATTTATAATCATTAGAACTTCCAAGAAGGAATGGCTGTTATTCACCTAGTAAATTCATGATAGAGGCTCAATCCAATCCATGAACTTTGTTTATTAGTCACTCAGTCTTTCAACTAATTTTCCCCAAGTTCAGCCAGACTTGGGTTATTTGAGTTCTTTTAATTCTCTTAAAAAATCCTGGGTTTTTCTGCCTTTATTTTAAAAGATGGCACAATATTTAAAGGACATTGTACCTTGACTGGATATTATGGAGGACATAGTTTAAGTTCCTGAAAAATAAGCACCTCTTATGGTAGAGGTTCTGTAATATTACATCCCCAACCTTCAACAAAAGCAACATCTTTAAAAGCACACATAACACGAGCTAATGTAACTCTTTCTTTATTTTGCATTATAAAAACAGATACTCTCCTGAAGCTAATTCCATGACGCGTAAGTGCAAGTGCTGCAGAGAGTCAAAGACAGCCAAGAAAGAAATCATGCTGCTGTGTCCTGGTGGCATCAGAAAGAAACACAGGTACATCCATGTGGAACACTGTGAGTGCCTGAACACTGAATGTGGTGATGAGCGAAGCTCCTCAGAAGAATATAGGGAGGACAAAGAAATCATCACGCAACCACCCCAGGCCATCAGGAACAGAAGTACGAAAGTTTTGGAATGAAATAAGATAACTGCTGATACACAGCGAAGAAATATACTGTGACTACACATACTATTATAATCTACCACTTTACCTTACTTTCTACAGCAGGGGTGTCCAACCTTGGAAACTTTAAGACTTGTGAACTTTACCTCTCTGCATTTTGCTGACTAGGGAATTCTGGGAGTTGAAGTTCACAAGTCTTGCCAAAGTTGGACGCTTCTGTTCCACAGCCTTCTCGGTCTGACTGTCCTTTACTATGTTCACTTATTTATTTGCACCAAAAATAAAACTAAAAATATTTTCTCCTATATATAAAAAGAAATGAAGGATGTATTGTATGACTTGGACTGTTGAATTAGCTTCTTTTGCTTTGGTTAATTAAAGGCATATTTCACAAGCGAGGTCTCCATTTCTGGTTTTGTTGACACATTTTTGAGTTTCTTAAATCTTGGGCTTCTACTCTTATAAAATTTATGCTTCAGATGAATGTTGCTGATCTATGAGGGAAATGCCAGTAACTTGCTGGGTTTTCTAGAGGATTTTGCTGGATTTTTGTCTTCTGATATTTTTTCCATGGTCTTATTGAAGTCCACTGAACTATAAACATTTATGCACATGGAAGATAATATTATTCAAGACTGTTTTTGAGCCCATCTATTGCCTGTCTGTGAAATCTCAGATGATATGCCCAAGACTTAACTGCTCATATTTCCTTCTAAACTAACTTCTTTTTGATTCCTATATACATCAGTTGAGAATTGTGTTGACTGTGCTGCCAAAAGCAAAAAGAAATGCTGAAAAGTCAGTAGAAAAAGTTGAAGAGAAGATGGAGAAAGTGCACATACCTTCAAGTCCATTTGTTCTAATATCATGCAAACTTTCATCATATCTTTATGTACAATTTGATTTTCAAATTAAAATTACAGTTTCAGATTTTTCGAAGTTCTGCATGTTGTAATTTTTACCAGTACAGGGAAGTATATGGATGCATAGATTAAAAAAATCTGTCCCAGTTTTAACAGTACATTCATGAAATTGTGTCTTCTCCATCATGTACTTTCTCCATGTACGTCACTGATTTCAATAGAATTATATTTTAGCACTGCAGGCTGTAAGCCAGTTTGACCGTACTATCAATTTTTTTGAGAAAAGATTTAAAACTCCCCATTTATCAATCTCTTCTAGATGTCCATGCTTCAGCTTTTTTCTTTCTTTCTACTGATTATAAACTGCACCAAATCTTTTGGGAGATGGCTATCGAAGAAATTAATAAGTGTGTGTGTGTGTGTGTGTGTGTGAGAGAGAGAGAGAGAGAGAGCGATGGGGAGGGAGGAAGAGAGAGAGAGTGAGTAGAAGTTTTTGGCAGACTAATGCTGGTTTACTTCTCTTAAGAAACAACTCTTCAGTAAAGTAATTATGAGTGGCAAAAATATTTGATGCTAAGCTTGTGCAGAATCAAACACACAGTCAAAATAACAATCAAATAGCATTCCTAGCTAAATTTGTTACTTATTTCTTAAGATGAGCAGGTGCTTAAAGCCCTGTATTTGTTTTTTCTTATATGATTTCCCCTAGCTAGTGGTGGAATGAGTCTGCCTACCGAGATGAAGTGAACCGGTTGCTTTCGTGATGTGGAGACAATAACTTGGTCCTCAACATCAATAAGACCAAGGAGCTTATAGTGGACTATAGACAGAACAGATCAGACATCCAGCCCTTGCTTATCAATGGAGGCCAAGTGGAGCAAGTGGCCAGTTTTAAGTTTCTGGGTGTTACCATAAAAGAGGACCTGACCTGGGTGCTTACATTGCAGCATTGGTCAAAAGGGCCCAGCAGAGATTATACTACCTGAGACTTCTCAGGAAACAACAATTGAATCAAAAACTGCTGGTGACCTTCTACCGCTGCACTATAGAGAGTATCTTAACTTACTGCACCTGTGTATAGTTTGCAAATTGCACAGTGGCAGATAGGACAGCACTCCAGATGGTTAACGTCATTGCCTGATCATAGGTTGCCCTCTCCCCTCTTTGGAAGAGCTTTATAGATCCCGCTGCCTTGAGAAAGTTCAAAACATTCTCAAAGATCCATCTCATCCTGGGCGTTCTTTTTTGAACTATTACCATCTGGGAGATAATAAAGACAAGGACAAATAGGCTGAAAAACAGCTTCTGTCCCAGGGCAGTAACTCTATTGAATTCTACTGTATAATGTAGTGTTGGTGCGATGTCGGAGGTTTTTAATTCCGTGTGTGGAGTGTGAAGGAGGTGTGTTTGTGTTTATTTATAATGTGTTGTTATTGATGCAGACAGGAAGGGGGCATACATTTACTCTGTCAGTTTTCTGGCTCATATCCGTGGACATTGTTTTTAAGGTCAAGCTTAAGAAATGCTCTTCAGATGCAGAAGCCATACTGGCTGAGGATATTGAAAATGAAATTCAACATATATTGGGGGCACCAGCAGGCTGCAATACTCCATATGACTTACTATAGATCTTTGTTGCCAGCTAATATTGGCTATATATCATAAGAATTACTTTCAAGGAGCATTCTGTCCATTGCATTTTATCCCTCGAGATAATACAGATACCCTTATGCTGAGGTCACAGTTCATAGCCATTATAATGAATACTCATATCTGTAGCTACACCACTTACCACTTATATTTTTTACTTAGTCTTGGCAGCAAAGCGTTTTTGGTCTGCAATGCAATATAGATGAAAACATGTTCTTTTACTCTGAAGCTGCAAATCAAGTTTGAAATAGATTTTTGTACATATATTTTTCTGAATGGTATACAGTGTTTTCTCTTCATTTTTGCTTTTGCACAAAAAGAAGTATGGAGATCCAAAGGAGGATTCATTGTTTGGCTCCTATATTTTGTACTGCTAACAGATCTACCTTCTTGTGTGTGCTTAAAAATAACAGTTCCAATGAGCTTACTGAAGATAAACCACAGCCAACAAAAGTCTAAAATCCACTTATTGCTAAGCCTCCAAAAACTGTTATTTGAGATGAACATTAACAAATAGATATATTATCACATATCTATGAAGTCACAGGAGTCAAGCTCCACTTGTGGAAGTGTTCTTCTTTTATACAGTTGAGGAAATTGTATATTTTGTAAACGAATGGGCCTTCATATGTATTTGTAGCATAAATGCTTGTTCCTGTTTTAGATGCTTAAAGAAAGCAGCCACAGTAGCCACATAAGTTATTTATTGATATCCCTTTTGTTTTTGATGCCTTCATGTCAGTCTTCACTCATGGCAATTGCCTAGATGAGACTCTGAAGTTTTCTTGGCAAGATTTCAAAAGCAATTGGACTTGGTCTGCCTTGTAGTGCTGAGAGAGAATGACTGACTGAAGGTCAGTCAGCTGGCTTTCATACCTAGGGCAGGTCTCCCCAGCAGTCTAGTGTAGACTGGTGCCTTAACTACTACATGAAACTGGCTTTCATTGATAGCCTTGTATGTACCATAGGATTTTACATATAAATATGAGGACCCAGATTGTTGGGGGCAATATGCTGACTCAGCAAACCTCTTAGAGAGGGCTGTAAAGCACTGTAAAGCAGTATATAAGTCTAAGTGCTATTGCTATATACTACAAAAATTATTAGATTGTGAATAGCATTACAGGAGGGGGGTTAATATGCATCAAACCCCGTTGCTTGTACTGATGATTTTGAGTAATAAAACACCTACAAGCAAACAACCATGCTCAGAGAGCACCAAAAAATCCATAGAGATAGATAAATAGATTCCTTAGCCAGCTAATAGATAGAACAGAATAATAGAGTTGGAAGGGACATTGCAGGTCATCTAGTCAAACCCCCAGTCAAGCAGGAGACCCTGTACCATTTCTGACAGATGGCTGTCCACTCTTCTTGAAAGCTCTCAGTGATGAAGCTCCCACAACTTCTGAAGGCAGAACAGGATACAGATAGGATGTGCAGTCTGCAAACTCTGCAAACTGCCAGACCCTGCCAGAAGGTCAATTCACAGCCACAACTGAGGAAGACAGATCTAACTTCTGTTGTTCTGTTCTGCTCTATTATCTACTTATCCCCTTTCATCAGGGATCTTCAAACTTGACAGCTTTAAGATTTGTGGACTTCAACTCCCAGAATTCCTCTTCCAATCATGTTAGCTCAGCAATTCTGGGAGTTGAAGCCCACAAGTCTTAAACTTGCCAAGTTTGAAGACCCTTGTCTTTCATGTATCTCAACAAATATTTTAAGTAGAATTGTAAGAGACATTTCTTTCCCAATGTATCCCTGCTGAAGATATAGCAATGTCTGTGAACAGATCATATAAATGTACATTTATATGATCTGTTCACAGACATGCTGTATCTTCAATGAAATCTTGGTTTCACATCTATTTCACATCAATGAAATTTTCTCAAGATATACATCTTGTTTTGTGGTTACTGGATTCTGTTTTTTTTTTTTTTTTACAATAGCTGATTTATACAGTAGCAAATGAAGAATGTAGTTATCAAGACTTGTGCACATACACACACAGCTCCAATGCACACTCCTGTTCTTTCAGGCAACATGGCAACATTTATTTATTAACTGCAAGTTTCCATCTTTCTGCAGCTGATTCATAGTAACTTATGAGAGTGATCAATAACCCCCAGAAACCTAAGTGCCATCTTTTTATTTTCATTGTATTTTGGTACAGAAAGTTCTGTAAAGAGGAGAAAAAGGAAAAGAGTGCAATTTACACTAAGCCAAAGAGATGGAAAGATGCAATTTAGTTAATGACGCCTGTGCCATTGGGGAAAACCATTGCAAATGCTTCATTTTATGTTTCTTATGCCTCCCATTCAGATATTCCTTTGTCACTCATAAAATTAAGCATGGAGGCAAATCCTGCCATGCTACAAAATACTACAAAGAGAGAGAGAGAGAATCTCATTTCGACAGAAGAAAACAAATCAGAGATAGATATCTCCATATAGATGAGTGTATCTGCTCGGAGATGCTCGCATAAACCTGTGAACCAAA